GCGCCCGCGGCGCCCTCCGCGTCTTGAGAGCGTTTACATATGTGTGCGTGTATTTTTGTGTGTATGTGTGTGTGTGGTTGGTTACGGGGGTCCGCTGCCCCGTTGGGGCGGGCGGCAGAGGGTGTTCTGAGGGTGGGTGTCAGGGTGAGCTGCAGGGGGGATCCGCGGGCGCTCGGTGTGTGGGGGTCGCTTTTGTCCCCCGCCGGCTCGCGGGCATCGGTCGCCGCTCGCCTTTTGGGGCGTCGCGGTGACAAAGGGAAGGGAGACAATGGGGGGAATGAGGGGTGTGTGCCTAATGTGTGTCCCCGCGCCCCGATCGCTGAGGGGGAAGGGGGTGTCTATTGTCCCTCAGCGAGGGGCGACGCCCTACCCGCGGCGGCAGCGGCGGCGCCCCCTCCCCTCCCCGCCATTGTTAGTGGGGAAGGGGCGGTGTCCGGGCGGCCGCGCCACGACGCCATGGAGCTGGGGGGGACCCTCTTCGAGCCCCTTGTGCCCGTGTCGTCCCCACCTCACCCCCCTCCGTCCCTTTCGCCCCTGAGGGGGCTGAGGCGGGAAGGGGGGAGCAACGGGGGGGGGGCGGCCCCGCACCTGAGGCGGGGGGCGGCAGGTGCCCGGATGTTGCCGTTGGCCCCGCCCCCCCTCCCTCGAGCCCCCTCGCGCGGGCGCGCGCGCGCGCTCTCCCCGGCCGTTTGAATTCGGAGCGGCCGGGCGCGAGGGGGCGGGGCCGGGGCGGGGCCTCCGCCGCCGCCTCGGCGCTGATTGGCCGGCGGCGCTTGGTGGGCGGGGCCGCGCTGGGCGCGGGGGGGGGTGTGCGCGGTCCCAGCGCCGCCCGTTCGCTGCCCCGTCCCCCGCGTCTTCATCGCTTAAAACCCCCCGAAAAAAACCCTATTCTAACGGTTTTTATACCCTTTACTGGCAATTTTTATGACGCCGCCGTTTTGACGAGGTGTGTCCCCCCCCCCGGGCGCTGCGTGTGCGCCCTCGCTCCCTTGCACGTCTTGACTTCGGCTGCGCAATTAAAATAGAATTTTAAATGAGGTTTGATTGCGCACATTTCAGATCCTTCGGGAGCAGCGGGAATTCTGCCGGTGCTGTCCTGTTGTGCGCCATGTTTTAATTGAGATGGCTCTACCTGTGTGTGATAGCAGTGAAATATCCATAGCACTCAGTAAAACTGAGTCTTTGTTTGAGCATCTTAATTAGGGTGGAGTAAAGCAGAGATTGAAGATGCTCGAATAACACCCATAATGCAGAACCTCTCCACTGTTCCTAGCAATGTTCATCAGCCTCATCCCCACAGACTGCCTGGAATCACTGACTGCAGTAACCTACCTGACTGCCTTTTGTTCAGCAGGTCTTATTATGCCTAGCAATTTTTATTAGAAGGAATATAATCCGTGTGCTTGCTGTGCTTGCTGTTCAAAGGCACATCTCTTTGTTATCTAGGAATCCAACTGACTGACCTTCTCCCAGGGTTGGCTTCTGGAATCTTATTTTCTTGGTCATGGCTACTTCTGGTATGTAGTATTGTGTACTAAATGCTCTTGTCTTTTTATTTTTAATTTTTATTTTTTTGCTTCTTAATTTCCTCAGAAATCGCTTAAAAATCTAATCTAGTAAAATAAACTGTTCCCTCGCCGTGCTTTTCTCGTGTCTCTGGGCTGCTTGGGTGAAGCTGCTGAAACTGGGTGGTTGTGAAAACACCCCAAAAAGCCTCCTCAGATGAGAGTGTCAGCAGATGGGCTCCAGCTCCCTGCAGCCATCTGCTCCCTCGGCAGAACTGACTCTCATCAAGGCATCTTGGGGATCCAAACGGGTGCAGCTGACACTGTGCAGGGCTGATGTGCCTCTTGGAGGGTTTGGAAACACAACCCTGCTTCTAGATTTCCTTGAAAACTCCCTTTTCTTCTTGGCTCTATCAGGTTTCAGGCAGACACCTGGAAACTTGTCCTTAGACCTGTCGTTGGAGAAATGATGATTTTTAATTTGAAGCACCAGCAATTTATTTTTTTCCACAATTCTGGCTATTAAAGGCTAAAACAAAATGTCAGGTGTTTGGGTGATGTTGTATCAAGAGGGAATTGCAAAGAAAATTGCTGTATTTTTGAGCGCTCTTGCTGTGCTTAAGACAAAACTGTTGTCTCGGATGCCTTCTCTTCTAGTGAGCTTTGTGGCAGGGAATGTTTGAAGGCTTTTAAGCCAGTTAGTGGCTTAAAAATGCTCTTATTTTGGTTTTTTCCCCACGTTCCTAGACATCCAAGTGAAGGAGCTGGAGAAGCGAGCCTCTGGGCAGGCCTTTGAGCTGATTCTCAGTCCCCGCTCGAAAGAAGCCGTTCCAGAATTCCCTCTTTCTCCCCCAAAGAAGAAGGATGTGTCACTGGAGGAGATTCAAAAGAAGTTGGAAGCAGCAGAAGAGAGACGTAAGGTAAATCTGGGGCAGCCCAAGTGAGCTCTGCTCAACCAGCCAGTGCAAGTTATGCAGGTTTTTTTTGGTTTTTAATGGTTTGGGAGAAGTGATCAGCGGTTTGTGTTACGATAAATGGAATATTAACTGAGCTTTGTTGGAATCCCTGGGGCTCTTATGAACCTTTCTCATGGTGTGGAAAGCCATGGCTTTATTTCCAAAGTGATTTTTGAGCTGTCACTTGAATTAAAACAGGGGGAAAACATTTAGTTGAGAGGGGCAGCTATTTCAGGAAGAAGCTGCTTTTCTTGTCTTTTGGCACCAGAACAGATTAATTTTCCCTTAGAAAATGTAGTGGTGAATCTGTAATGAGCAGTTTGTTAATGCAGTGTCTGACTGATGAAAGATCTGGCTGTTGGTGTAGCCTGGAGCCCTTGATGGTGCCGAGGCTTTGACTGAAGTGAGCCTGACCTAAATCTCAGTGATTCACCGTTCTGTGAAGGGAGAATCTTCAAGGAAAGTTCCATCAGTGTTAACATTAAACAAACAAACAAAAAAAAATCCATGTTCTCTTTCCAGAAAAATCCCATTTAACAATGGTGACAGAAACTGAACCTCCCAGGTAGCTTGTGATGGTGAAGTACAGGTTCTGTGGAAGGGGGGGGGAGCACTGGGAGCTCTGTCCTGCAGCACCAAGCTGCTGTTCTGCAGTAAAAAAAGGTAGAAAACGTGTTCTCTGAGGAGCTGGGGGCAACTGTGGTTGGTTCCTGAATGCCTGCACCCTCTGCTTTGCCAGTCTCATGAAGCAGAAGTGTTGAAGCAGCTGGCGGAGAAGCGGGAGCACGAGAAGGAGGTGCTGCAGAAAGCCATCGAGGAGAACAACAACTTCAGCAAAATGGCAGAGGAGAAGCTGACCCACAAAATGGAAGCCAACAAAGAGAACCGTGAGGCACAAATGGCTGCCAAGCTGGAGCGCTTGCGGGAGAAGGTGGGTGTGGGGTCCCCGGGGCCCCTTGGAAGAGGGAGTTATCCGTGCTCCCTGCTTGGAAAACTGGCTGAAAACCCCAAATGAACGGCCACGTGAAGGGGGTGCTGCAAATAGATGGGTGTCCTTGGGAGTGCTGTGACCTTCAGAGGTTCTTAAACCTGCAAAAGGTTTTGCAGAAACGCAGCTCTTTTGGGGGCAGAGGGGACGGGATGGCAGGAGTGAGTTAGGGCAGTGTTTTGCTTTCTCCTTTAAAGCTCCACCCCGTACCCCCTCGGTGACCCACGTCAGGGTTCCTGCTGTGAGCTGGGGAGGTGGGAAGCCCTGTGCCTTTCCCAGTGCCTTTCCCAGGATCTGTACCTTCCCCGGGATCTAACTGCTCCCTGCTGCTGTCTTTCAGGACAAGCACGTCGAAGAGGTTCGAAAGAACAAAGAAGGCAAAGACCCCGGTGAGGCCGAAACTGACTGATTTCATTCTGGAAACTTACTCTCCCCCTCCTCTAAATATCCAAAGACTGTACTGGCCAGTGGTTTTATCTTTGGTTTTTGGTTCGGTTATATATATATTTTTTTTTTTAAGTTTCTAGAAACTGATGTAGAACTGTAAAATTAGATCCAAACTGTACACTTGCTTTGGGGGCTAGAGGGGAGAAACTTCCATGTGTCACTTTTCTAAAAGTGTTGTCTTTCCAGTGTAGCTTTTCTTCTTGTTGCATCCTTTTCTACGCCAGTGCTCTCGCTCCTGGGTTGATGGCGAGTACTGTATCAGCTCTGTAAGACCTCTGTGAAAGGAATCTGTAGTAACTGTTCCATGCTGAATATCTGTTACACTTCAAAAAAAAAAAAATCTGACTCTGTCCCAGTCAGTCTGCTAAAATACTGCTGTAACTGAGTGACTCAATAAAGCTGCACAGTGCTGTTATCCCGAGAATTATTTCCTAAGGGACAAAAACCGGCCGAGGGCTGCGGTGGGAATCCTCACCCCGGTGGGAAGGTCTGGAGCAGCACATTTCCTTGCTCCCCAGAGCACAGCATTGTCTTAGCTGGACAATCAGAGCTTTGTTTTGACACCTCAGCAGTTGTCAGCTGTCGGGTGTTTTTGTTCAGAGGGTTCAGAGCCACCTCCTCGGGGCTCTGACACCCCAACAAACGGCCCTTGTTACCACATGACTGGTGTGAGCCTGGTTTTGGGAAGGGTTTCTGGGAGAGGGCTTGTGCTGCTGAATGGTGACTGTGTGCTGCATCCTGCAGCGTCAGAGGGGGAGAGTCAGGAACCTGTGTTGGTGCTGGGATAAGTCAGCTGGACCTCTTCCAAAATGCTGTTTGTGGATAAGAATTGTTTTTGTTTCGGTGTCACACATCTGTGTCGGGACAGAACACCAAGGTTAACTCCTGCCCACAGCCAGAGCGGTGTTTGTTCTCCTCCTGGGGTGTGAGGAATGGATGGGGCTGTGCTTGTGCTCTGAGGAAAGATGTTCGTTTTTTTGGAGGGTTTTTTTTTTAGGTGGATTGGGTACAAAATTGCTGTATTGTACCCCAAATCCTCCCCCTAAGAACATCCACAGGTGCTCGTGCTGCCCTCGGCAGAGCCAAGGCTGCAGCTGGGGGGTGAGCAGGCACCCAACTTCCTCAGCACCAATGCCCTGTTCCAGAACTCTTGGCTTAGTGGGAGCCAGGGATTTCACAGCCTCAGCATGACACTCACAGCTCTGGCTTTGTCTGTATCCCTGATCCTGAGCCTTTTGCTTCCCAGGTTTGCTTTCAGGTTTAACTCCACACCTGGAGCATCTGGTGCAGCCCAGCTGACACGTAATTCCGAGGATGGAAAAGCTGGTGGGGAACTGGTTTTCTAAGGGGCTAAAGGAGTCCTGGTCACTTGATTAAGAAGAAGCCCTCAGTTTAGGGAGCTTTCCTGTGTCCCGCCGGGCACTTGGATTGCACCTGAGCTGTGCTTAACCCATCGAGGAGCACTGAGGTACAGCCCAGCTCCATGTGCTTGGAAGGCTGGAGCTGGTGCTCTCCCCGAAGGAATTCCAGAAGCCGTTTTTGAAGCTCCACAGTCGGAGGTGAGTCTGTGCTGCTCCCTGGTGGGGAGCGACTGCCCGGCCGCGGGGTGGGGGCACGGGGCAGGTTTGGAGCTTTTAGTGGCTCATGGACACTGGGTAAGCTGAGGGCACAGGGATGGGGTCAGGATTCGTCCAGGGGAATGAGGGCACAGGGATGGGGTCAAGGATGAGGGCAGGAAAATACAGAGCTGAACTTTGAGATGAGGCTTGATAAGTGAATCCCTGGTACTGTGTAATGGAGGCTGGAGGGATCCCTGGATCAGAGCCCGTGCACAAGATGAGGCACAACCAACAATCAACCCCCCCCCCCAGGTCTTCATTTTAATGTATTTATTTACCTGCTGAGAACACACCAAGTGTCCCCAAATACCGTGTGGGGGTTTATCTCCTGTCTCTCTCCTGCAGTGGGGGAGGAGGATGGTGGAGCTGCCAAACTCCAAATGGCGTTAGAGCCCAAAAAGACGATAAACGCGGGTTTCTGGCTTGTCAGGGCTGTCAGATCTCGGCGCGGGGCCTTCTGTTCCCTCCTCTTCCTTCTGCTTTGCGTGTCTGCCGTTGTTTGTGCTTAACTGGGGCCGGTTCCCCCGAGTGCTGCTGGGGGGGGGGATTTTGGGGGGTGGGAGTGGTGAGAGGACAGAAGTGATGTGAGAGCGGGGTAAGGGAGGGGAACTATCCGGGTGATGGTCGGGCAGGAAAACGGGAATCAGTGCGAGATGGAAACAGGTTCTTTCAAAATAAAGGACAAAAAGGCTCCGCAGCTTCTTTCCACCCTGCGGAGGGAGGGGCGATGGGGAGGGAGAAGGGCACGGGGGGGGAGCAGGTTCGCAGCAGCTCGTAGGGGCTGTGGGGGTGACAGGACCCCCGGTTCACAGACCCCCTTTATCCCCTTCGATCCGGGCGGGAGGAGCCGCGGGCACCGGGGACAAGGAGGGGAAGGAAGCGGCGGGGCCGGAGCGGGGCGGGCCCGGGGGAGGGAGGCGGAGGCGGCGGAGGCTGAGCCCGGCCCGGAGGGGTCCGTTCTACAGGTGCCTGGGCGGGGATGGGGGTCCCGGGGGAGGATTGGGAGGGGAAAGGTCCCAGAGCGCTGCCAATCCTCGTGTCCAACTGCACCCGTGCCCTGGAGCATCCCCCGCTCCGGGGAGGGGGGAATCCCAGGGGAGGCAGAACCATCCCTTGGCTCCCAGGTTTTGGCAGCTGCTCTGCGGAGGGACGGCGGCTGGAAAGGGGAGGGGGGCTCCGGTGTATCAAGGGCTCGGGGAGCCGAGGTAGAAAAAACCCATCCCAGCTTAAAAAAAAAGCAAGATATCTGTGCCTTAGGAGGGTGGATCCCGCTGTGTGGCGGGAGCAAACAGGGATGTAAACAGCCGGGGGCCGAGGCTCTATCATCACAAAAAAATTCGGCGGGATGGGTGGATGCTGCCGGAGAAAGGAAATGCTTCGGAGGAAGCAGCAGGCGTTTGAGGCAGCGCTATTGACAGCTCGTGGGGATGTGGAGGCTGTTATTTGGAGTACCAGGCAGGTGAATGATTTCCAAGATGTGCTCCGTTCCTAACGGAGCGTTGCTCAAGGGTTGATAGCTGGGAAGAGCTTGGCAAATGAAGCCCTGCTCCGACAAGTTTTGGAGGAGCTGGGGTGAACACCACTCCCTTTCCTGCCTCGTGCTTGGCTGCTCTCCACTGCTTTTGCCACAGCATCTCCCTGAGCAAACCAGGGGTGCCTTTCCCACAGGAATTTCTCTCCTGGAAGCCGAAACGGGGTCGGACGTGATCTGGAGCTGAGCCCCTTCCCCTCTACCTGAATATCCCTGTGAGCAGCAGCAGCCCTGGCACAGAGGCAAGTTCTCTGGGCAGTGTTTTCTTCCAAACTGCCCATCGTATTTTGGTTGAAACAGCTTAATTTGGGAAGTTCTGCTTTTGCCCTCATCTCTGTGGTGGTGGGACCCGAGGCTGTTTCAGTTCAGCGCAGGAGCTGCGAGTCCAGAAGAAGTTTGTGAAGTTAATTTTTCACTGGCAGCCAGAGCGTGTTGCAGCATTGCAGGAGGGTTTAGGAGGCCAAGCAGGGGTCAGGACTGCCCTCTGTGAGCTGCTGCCCCAGCCAGGGGGGCTGTTTGGGATGTGGGGCCTCTTTAACCAGGCAAAGTGGGAAAAGAGCACTCAGGAGGGAAGCTGAGCAGCAAACAGCCTGGTTTTGTCTGCATCTGTGCCCCTTGGATTCAGGCAGGCATGGGTTACAGACCCATTCTGATGAAGAAATTACGGGTATTTTTAAAACAAACAGTGTCATCTCGACCTCCTCCTGTTTCCAAACTTTGAAAAGCTTTTCCTGTCTGAGCTGTCCCTGAAACAAGGGCACTTGCCAGGGGTTGAGGCATAAATCAGCACAGGAGCTGGATGGGATCTGGGCTGTTTTCTTCAGGACTTGTCTGAGCACGAGCAGGTAAAACTGGGGGGAGAATCTCCTTTTGGGCACATTCTGTTCAATAAGCTTTTATGAAAGGGCTGCTTTTATCCGGGTGAGGGCAGCAGCTTCCAAAATGTAAATATGGAAACGTTTGCTCGCAAAGATTGTGCTGCTGGACCTCAGTGATGCAACAGGATGAACTCACTCGAGCCGCGTTGTTTTTGTGGAAAGCTGCTTGGAAAATCGGGAGCTCAAAAAAAGGAGGTGAAACTCCAAATGCAGGAGTTTCACCCTCTGTTAGTGGCGTTGGTTATTTCTGTTCTCAGGTGCCCCCCCTTGGGAGGCAGAGCAGGTCACCTTGATGCTCGTGGGAAGGTGGCTTGTGTCATTTGTAAGGACAGGGACTGTAAACAGTTTATGAGGGGGAAAATCTGGAGTGGGAGGTTTGTTTGGGATGCTTGGTTTGTTTAGCACTTCCCAAACTGCGGGGAAGGGGTGAGCCAGGAACTGATGCATCAATTAACCCCATACTTGTGTCCTCTGTGCTCCTCCAGGCAGTCTGTTACCTGTGCAGCAGGGGCACATCAGGGCTCCCTTCAGCCTCCTTCCTTCCTAACCCTGTTGGTGATTCTTATTTTCAGGCTGTTCTCCGGCCACACCTATCGTTGGAAAAACCACACAAAGCAAACAAACAAACAAAAAAAATCTGGCAAAGCATTTGAGCTGCCCCCGCTCACTGACTTTGTGTCGAAGCCACTTTTAAACCCCACAGCAAAGCTTTCCTTCCACCCCAAAGGTTATTTTGCACAGCAGGGACCAGGAGTGGGGCCACACCATGGCAACGTTTGTCAGCGAGAAGCTCAGCCGGCTCTTCATTAATGTGAGGCAGGTCCCTCAGCTGCTGGGGCCCCTCTCTCCCTCCACCGTCAGCAGCTCCGAGGTGCCCAAGGTCTTCTGGAAGCCCTACATCCACACCGGCTACCGGCCCGTCCAGCAGACCTGGCGCTACTACTTCTCCACCCTCTTCCAGCAGCACAACGAGGCCATCAACGTCTGGACCCACCTGGTGGCAGCGCTGATCCTGCTGCTGCGCTTCCAGCAGCTCTCGCGGCGGGTGGACTTCGGGCAGGACCTGCACGCCCAGCCCCTCCTCATCATCATCGCGGCCTCCATCACCTACCTGACGTTCAGCAGCCTCGCCCACCTCCTGCAGGCCAAATCCGAGTTCTGGCACTACAGCTTCTTCTTCATGGACTACGTGGGGGTTGCTGTTTACCAGTATGGCAGCGCCCTGGGGCACTATTACTACGCCATCGAGCCGAGCTGGCACGAGAGGGTCCGGGGGTTTTACATGCCGGCGGCCGTGCTCCTGGCCTGGCTGTCCTGTGCTGGCTCCTGCTATGCCAAGTACCGGTACCACCAGTCCGCCCGGCTCCTGGGCCGGCTGTGCCAGGAGCTGCCCTCAGGCCTGGCCTACCTGCTGGACATCAGCCCCGTGGTCCATCGCATCTGCACCGCGCCGCCCTCGGCGCGCCCGGACCCGGCTCTGCTCTACCACAAGTGCCAGGTGCTGTTTTTCCTCATCGGTGCCTTTTTCTTCTCGCAGCCTTACCCCGAGAAGTGGTTCCCTGGCAAGTGTCACTTCTTCGGGCAGAGCCATCAGATCTTCCACGTGTTCCTGGTGCTCTGCACGCTGGCACAGATCGAGGCCGTGGTGCTGGACTACGAGTCCAGGCGGCACATTTATTCTGCTCTCCAGGGGGACCTGGCACACAACTTCTCTGCCCTTTGCCTCTTCACAGTGACCTGCGCTGTCCTCACAGCCGCCTACATGGCCCGGAAGGTGAAGAACAAGCTGGGCTTCAAGGAAGAGTAAAAGCCCTGAAGGAGAAGCAGGTGAGCTCAACCTGTGCTGGATGAATCCCGCCCCAAACCTTGAGAAGAGGAATGAGATGCTTCATGAACTGTTACTCAGCAAGTGCTTTCTGTAGGAAGGGAAAGTAAAGGCTGCTTTTTTATGCTTTTTTTTTTTTTTTAAATTCAGAAGTAGTTCCAGCTTGCTCTTAAGAATGGTACATAGGTTTGATTCACCTCTGAATAAAGAGTTGGAACAAAGTGTTTTGGTCCCTGTGCCCCGGCAGTGGTGGGCTGGGGAAGGCTCCTGGAAGCTGCCAGGTCTCACAGCACCAGGTAAGGATTAGAATCCAACCCATGGAAACAGACCAAGGTGAGGCTGTTTAAACCACAAACAAGAGTGGCAAACTTAACTCAGTATCATTTCAGGCCCCTCATATATGGCCCGGGGACTCGTTCAGAGCTGTTCGTGCAGTGGCAGGGCCCCGTCCCTCAGTGATGGGAGCGAGACGGGCACGGCCTGTCCCGGGAAGTGCAGTGGGAGGAGAGGGTTGATGTGATGGGGCTGAGCCTCAGGGCCGGGTTCCAACACGGGGAACCTCAGCGCTGGATCAGGCGCCGGGAACAGGGGAACACCCCTGAACAGCACACGGGGGGCAAACGCAGGGGGGGTAGAAGACACGGTGTGAGGGGCTGGGGCAGGAGGGGCAGCGGGGCCCCACGGATCGACCCCGGTCCCGGGTCCAGCCCGTGAGGGACCCACCCGCCCCGCCCCCGCTCCGCTGCTCTGAGGGGCCATCGCGGTGCCGCCGCCTTATATAGGGCACGGCCCGGGTGGGCGGGGCCAGTTGCAATCGGGGCCCCGCCCCTCCGCTCCCATTGGTCCGTCAGCTGCCGGCGGCGCGCGGGGCCGGTTGGGCGGGAACCGGGAACGGGAAACGAGCGGGAACAGCCCGGAATTGGGAACCGCCGGGAATTGGGAACCGCCGGGAATTGGGAACCGCCGGGAACTGGGAACCAGCGGGGACGGTGCCGGGATGAGGCGCCGGCGCGGAGGCCCCGCCGCCCCGGCGGAGTCGTGCGGCGTGTGGCTGGACACGGCCGAGCTGAAGCGCAGACCGGCGCCGGTAAGACCTGGGGGGGCACTGGGGGTGTCTCGGGAGCTGTGAGGGGTCGGGTGAGCCCGGAGAGTTGAAAAGTTGAAGTGTTTCACTTCGTTTAATAGTGGTACTACATCATCTGAGATTCGCTTGGGGGTCTGGGGCATTTCTGTGATGAGGCTGCGGGAGCTGGGCCTGGTCGGTCTGGAGAAGGGAAGGCTGGGAGGGGATCCATCAGTCCGTGCAAATATCTCATCAATCCATACAAATATCTCATCAATCCATACAAATACCCATTAATCCATGCAAATATCTCCAAGAGGGTGTCAGAGGATGATGCCAGACTCTTCTCCATGTACCCAGCGACAGGACAAGGAGCAACGACCATAAACTAAAACACAACAAGTTCCACCTCAACATGAGGAAGCACATTTTTCCATGGAGCTGGCAGAGCCTGGAACAGCTGCCCAGGGAGGGTGTGGAGTCTCCCTCTCTGCAGACATTCCAGACCCACCTGGTTCCTGTGTCACCTGCTCCAGGTGACCCTGCCTTGGGCTGGATGTCTCCAGAGGTCCCTTCCAACCCCAACAATTCTGTGATTTCCAACCCAAATGATTCTGTGTTGCTGTTTAGCGGAGGTGGGAGCTCCGGAAGAAGGAGGAATTGTTTTTATATACATTCATATATTCACTCTCCCTTGTTTCTTCCCCCCCCAGCCTCGCACAGCCAAGCTAAAAGCACCCACCCGAATTCTGGAGAGGAATCCCACCTTGATGATGTTCACACAGAGCAGAGCCCCCCAAACTCGCACCAAGCAAACCACCATCCCCACCTTCTTCAGCTCCCACACAGGTAAGGAGGGGAAGCAGTTCCAGGTGTTACAGCAAACCCATCTCACTGTATCTCTTGGCAGCTTTGCTGGGCAGGAAACTGCATTTTCTAGTGCAGAGAGCAAAGGTTTGAACTCCCAGAAAGGCTTTTATTGTGAGGGTTAATCCAAATGCAGGTGCAGCTGTTAATAGCTGTTAATGAAGGGCTGGACAAAGCCTTTCCTAAGGAATGCTGTGATTAATCCTAATGGAGCCAATTCCCCCATCACAGGGGAACTGGAATATTTAAGCTAATTAAGCCAGCTCACAAACTCTGTGCTTTTGAGGCTGGATTTTTTTTGCACTCTGAAAAAACTGGGATTTTCCAGGGGTCTCAAGTTAACAGGTATGGAGAGAAATGAAACAGATGCAGAAAGCAGCAGAGCAGGGCTCTGGAGCTGCTTGTGTGTTGTGAGTTATGTAAGAGTTGGTTCATCAGCATTAAACTGGTTTAGAAATAAGCAGATGAGAGGAGGTATTTACAGAAATTGCACAGGTTGACAGAATTTCTGTGCTGTGACAGGGGTATTGATGGTTTTTGCTTTGGAGTCATCATTCCTACTCCTTCTGAACATGGTTTGTGCTTTCCTCTTTCTTCCCATTTGATTCCCCCCATTGATTGCATTCACTTACTCCCTGGGGGTGTCTGAATGTTCATCCAGAGTTCTGGAGGATTTAGGGTGCTGGAGGGTTTTATTCTTTTAGCTCATCCTGAACTGAGGGGGAGCTGGTTTATACTGAGAACTTGTACTGGGTTTTATGTTCAATGGTTTCAGAAGCAAATGTGGGCCTCGATGCCTCCATGGGACCACACAGGCACAGGCACAGTTTCATTGGGCAGTTTTGTGTTTGTTTTTTTTTTTTTTAAGTGACTCTTGAGCTGCTGCTTTTAAAGGGAATGTTAGAGGTGACCTGCCTGGAAAGCTGAGGGAGGAAGGTGGAGGAGCCAAGGGCTGGAGCAGCTGAAGATGCAGCTCTTGACCTCACTCGAGGGACTCTGACTGATGTGAACCACCCCAGAGCTTTGGGTGCTGTTCCAGCTCAGCCTCTGCAGCACAAATAGATTGTTGTGAGGTGGTGGCAGCACTGGGACAATCCTTAGGGATACACAAAGGAGAGCAAAGCCACAGGAGAGAGTGGCAGGTCTGAGTCGAGGAATGTGGGTAGTGACTAATCCTGAGAAATGTGTTTGCCAGCTCTGGCTTTAACCGATTTTGTGTTGCTTTCAGAAGACAAAGAAAACTCCAGGCCATCTCCTTTCACCCCAAATAAGGACAGTAAAGACACAGGTGTCCCTCTGGCTGCCTGCCCTGTGAAGATCTTGGCCTTGCCACGGATGGAGGCAGCCCGGGATCAACCCTTTGGATCCGAGGAGGGGCTGCAGGTCACATCCCAGGGCCGGGCAGGGAAAGCACCTTTGCCAGACTCCTTGGAGCTACAAGTGGAGTCACAGAGCCAGGGCAAAGCCTCCTGTGGGGCAGGAGGGGACTCCTGGTGCTGCAGCTTCACCCAGGACTCGGAGGGCCCCCGGGTCATCACTCACAGGAACAAATCCCGGTTATTTGCTGGAGAAACGGCTTCAGGAAGCAGCAGTGTCACATCAGACTGGGGGGTAACCAAACAGGAGGGCCAGGAGGTGAAGGCTGGACTCGATTTCCAACCAGGGCTTAGTGCAAAGCAGAATAAGAAACCACAGCAGTGGAGTGGTGTTAATTCTTTAACTGATTTTGCTGAGACTGAGAATATAAATCCCGTGCCGGGAGCCAGGCCCTGGGCTCCTGGGGGGGTTTGTTCATCTCCACAGAGCCCAGCGAGAGCTCAGCCCCTGAGAGAGCGTGGCCAGAACACAACAGGGGCTGGGGTGGGCTGGGACAGCCCCTGCAGGGAGCTCTTCTGCCAGGACTCGGAGGGGAACAGGGTCATTGCTCACGGCTGCAGGGACGGGGGCATTTCCCACAGGGACAGTTCCAGCTGTGCTGCCTCGAGCCAGCCCCGGGGGCAGCAGCTGGAGCTGTGCCCTGAGTCACTGTTCACACAGGATTCTGAAGGGAACAGGGTGATCAAACACTGGTGAGTGACCTCAGTGTCCTGTGTGGCCTCTTGTGCAGCAGGAAAGTGGGAGGGGGGAGTTGTAAGAAAGTTGTCAGAATTTGGGAAGTGAACCTGCTGTGTCTGTGTGCAGGGTATAACCAGCAGCCACAGGCAGCACCTCTGTTTTTTATTTTGTTTTAGTACAAATAAAATGTTGAAGGAGTTTATTTATAAGGGGTTTGACTGCTTTGCTCAGAATTAGAGCCCATAGTACTGCCCTGTGTTCCTGCCCAGCCTGCACATGGAGCACATTCCCAGGAACTGGGACTCCTGGTGACAGCTCCACCTTCTCCACAGGCAGGTGTATCCCCACCAAATCCTTGGGCAGAGGAGCCTTATGGGGACAGGGAGAAGGATCCCAGTGTTCAGGGGCTCTCGGGGTGCATCCAGGAGGGGAGGAGCTGTATCAACTCCCTATAAAACTGATTAAGCCTTCAATGCTCTTTCTGTTCTCTGCCATAAAAGCCTCCTCTCATTTTTTAAGGTGGGGGATGATGATTTAGTTTTTTAAGGGCCAAGGGCCCTCAGTTAAGAAAATTAAGGTGGATTAAGAAAAAAACCTTGCCACCTGTGAGCGTGTTCAGCTGCAGCAGCCGAAATTCCACCCCCCAAACACGAGCGCATTAAAATCATCTCAAGGACAACCATGGTCTTATTAAGGCTCCATTTTATATAAAGGAAAAAAATCATACTTTAAATACAGCCATGAGGAACATTGCAGCGAAGGTGGAGCTGAAGGAAAAACTCTTCAGTGGGTGAGAGCTGCAGCCACAGCCAAGGCCAAACTCCTCCCCTGCTCTCGGGGGGTGCCCGGCCCTCTGCATTGGTGCATCAATAAATAGACCTTTTGAACGCTAAATAAAAATACAGGTTTGGAGTACAAGGACTAGTAATGAAACATTAAATTACTGGCAAGAAATTAAGGCCATTCTGTCATGCAACTGTGGGCTAATCAGTGAGTTAAATACCCAGGGCACACTAAATCCACTCACGCCCCACGGAGGGGTTGGTTCCGTCCTGTCACTGGGAAAACGTCTTTTACCACTCTGATCCAACAGCCTGAAGACCTGGAAGCATTAATGAGCTTATTCTCAGTAGCTCTGTACCACACTCAGAACAAAGAACTGGAGGCTTTGTCCTGTTTGTGCTGGAAATGGAAACTGGTTCTATCGTAACGAGGCCGTTGGAGGTTAATGCTTAATTGGAACCTAAGGAAAAGTGTAGGTAAGAAAGAACATCATCCAGCAGCACTCCAGAAGATCCTTATCAATCATCAACATCAAAACACAGGTGGAAAAAGAATTTCCATCTTCTTAAAAAGATTTTTTTGTTTGTTTGTTTTCTTAAATATAACAATACATGGAAAACACATCAAATCCGTAGGGTCTTTCCTAAGTGTCCCGTGCAGAAACCAGGTCTAATTAATAAAAGAGGCAAAAGGTTCAATCCTTAGGAAGGCAGCTACTGTGGAGAAAATTTTGGGAGCGTAACACTTTTGCTTACAGAGTTGAAGGACAGCAACATCATTTCTCCTTCAGGGCCAGATCTTCATCCTTCAGGGCAAATTTCCTTCTCAGAACTTCTGCAATAAGAACAGCCGGGTCTTCCTCCTTCATGGAAGGTCGGTTTCTACATGGGAGACAAAAAATCACCGTGCATTAGCACAGGCAAGTGCCAAAATTAATGATTAACAGCTCTGGGTAGAGCCTTCCAAGTGTTTTTTCCTGCAGCCTTTACCATCAGCTGTTGTCACAAGGGGAGGAGGTGCAAGAACAACACCACAGAGCAACAAAAAGCAGCTGAAATTCAGCCCTTTCGTGTCGGCTTAGAAAACCTGGGGCCCGTGCTGTGGTTCAAGGGGGATCCTGAAAAATCTCACAATCAAAGCTCTGGATGATTTTTATTCAATTGTGCCAATAACAAGTAAGTAACCCAAAACTTGATCAATTATTTACAGCCTACATCCCCTCAACACAAATCAGCAAGCAGTGAGGTGTCTGAGGTGAACTCCTGGGACTATATATATATTTTTTCATTAATTCTGCCACACAACAGGTATATTATTTCCCATTTAAACATGGGTGATTACAGACATTTTAAAGCAGGGCTGGTACACATTTCCTTCCACTACATGAGTTTTTCTGCAGCATTCTAAGAGCAGTTTTCCTCCTTCAACAAGTTCACACAAGCAGCTCCTTTCAGAAGCAGATTATTTTTACAGGAAGCCAAACCCCAGCTCTTTTCCTTCAGGTGTCATGAATTGCTCACTGCAGTTTTGTTCACAACCTGTAATGATAATTTCAGAGCTTTTATTTTTTTCATAGCTGAAGCCCTCCCTTGCTCAGAAAACATTATGGGTGTTTTAAACATTCCTAAAAGAAAAAAAATAAAATAAAAATCCCCCTGGAGCATTTCCACCACAGACACTAGAACAGGCTGTAATTCAGATTTGCTGAAACAGGCACATTTCTGCAAGTTTCTCCCTTATTCCTGAAGCTTCCAAGGCTGTGTTTGAACACCAAGGCTGAGTTTAAGCCCAAAGTCCTACACAGGAGCAGCAGAGAGGCATCAGTGTAATTATCTCTTTAAGCATCTTCTGGTACTTTCATCCACTTAAAGAGCTCCTGACCCTGCTCAGGGTTCCCAGAGCTGCCCAGCAGAGCTGGGGGAGCTGCTCCACAACTGCACTGAGGGGTGTGTGAGGAATTAAATCTCATCAAGTCATGAACACCAGTGATTAACTGAATTTTTCCAACTCCCTGCCACTCTTCAGACAGCTTTAATTAAGCCGTAATAACCCCAAAATGTCACTGCTGGATTCAGGAGAGTCAGAGGCTGAGACAAAGAAAGGGATGAGGGGAAAACAGTTCAAGTCCAGCAGGAAGCAGCCTTTCTGCCACAGCATTCCCTGGATAATCAGTCAAGGATCAAGGGAAAAGGGTGACCCTGTCCTTCTGCCCACTTTGTCGAGGAGGGATCTGGCAGCTCTCCCCTCCTCTCAGCACCAAATCTTTGCCCTCATCCCATCTCCTGTGACTTTAAACAGAATTAAAGCCTTTCCTTGAGCACAAACCATCCTGTCCTCCCCCAGGGAACAGCAGGATCAAACACCTTCATCCCTCAGGACTTCTCTCACACATTCCACCGAGGAAATTCAAATTGTGGCCTGTTGTGTCGCAGCATTCCCTGTCACCCACACACTGTTTGTCACATCCTCCTCCCCAACCCCTCGTGACTCGGCCAGTGCTGGAATCTTGGACTCTGCAGGAGCCTTGTTGGCACATCCAGGCATGGATGAGAAATGCCTCAGATCTTCCTGCCATAATCTGGATTTGTACCAGTTTGTTTTTCCCCCTGAATAATGCACATTTCCCTCAATTCCCCTGGCACAGACAGCAGCAGTTTCCCTGCCCTGAGAGCCTGAGGCTGACACAGCAGCCTGCACTGATTAGAAGAGTGATAATTGCACTGTTACAGGTGAGTGTGCAGGTTTTGGTTCAGGTAAAACACTCCATGGCACAGCATGAAGTACCTGCAACACCAGAGGGACCATGAGAATGGGGCAGTTACAGTGCCCAAAAGCCAAACCCAAATCCCTGTTGAGTCAATGTAGCTGAGCCTCACAAACCCCAGGATTTTTTCCCTCCATTTGCCTAAAAATTCAATAATTCTGCTGTGCAACAGACTGAGACACACAAAATACAAGATTTCTCTTAATCCTCTCTCCATTTGCCTCATAAATCAATAATTGTGCAACAGACAGGAAGAAAGAAGAGGAGCAGCTCACCTGTGGTCCACGAATCCTCACCCCCAAGACACATGACAGGCATTTATATAAATCAATCAAGTGTTTAAGCTTTGAGTCATATTTAACACTCAGGAAAACAAGAGGAAAGGGGTGAGTGATGGAGGTGTAACCCCCCCAGGATGCTCTGGGTGGAAGCTGAACATGTTCCTCTCATGTGACTACACAATTTTCTCAGTGCTGAGGATTTAATTTCTTTTAAGCCGAACCAGGCACAGAAATAGTGAAGAGCCATCACACAGCAGGTGTTATTTTTGGCCAGGAATCTCACACAACGTGATGGTTGGGCTGAAAAATGTGGAGACTGAACTTCATCACTGCGATTTCAGCCAACACTGAAGAAGGAACTTGCTCAGCTGGGCAGAATCCTGTCCCAGCCATGGAGCAGCTTCAGGAGTTCTCATGATCAATGTGTCAACTCATCATGAGACAAGTGCAAACTCACTGTGCCCACGCTCAGGACTGGGCCAGATGCACAGTCAGAGAAGCTGAGAAGCTCCACGTGTTAATTCCTGTCTGTGCCACGCTGGAAAGGCTGCTGAGCTTCCCAACTGCCTGGGAATGTGAGGTGGGCTGACACCAGCACCTGGAACATTGGTGGTGTGACTCTTCCTCACTCTGAAAGCTGCCAACACACACAGTCCTGGTTGGCATCTGGGCAAACACAGCTTTTTGCCAGGTGAAAAAGCTGGAACAGCCAAACATTGGGCTAACCAGTTTAAATCCCCCTCCACTGTTTCCCCTCTGGGTGGGTAAGCCAGGGTTAAAACAAAAAACCAGGAATGTGTTATCAAGTTCTGCTCTAAACAGGTATTTTCCCTGTGAATCATGAATAAAGAAGCAGCACCAGCAGCAAGTGTCCAGAAAACAATGATTTAACACCAAAACCAAAGAGAGAGAAAATCAAAGGGAGATCAGGAAGCACTTACAAGTCTTTGCTCTGCTTCATCCTGTGAATGTCTTTAAGAATTCCCATCATGTCTGCAAAACTGCTGGCCTTGGAAAGGGACACGGAGTCTTCCTCATCAGGATCCTTTGGGTCTGGCTTGCAGCTCTCAGAGGCTGCAGAGCAGAGCAGGGAGACCGACGGGAGCTCGGGGCTTTCCAGCTCTGCCTCCTCCTCCGTGATATCGCTAATGACAAAGGAAGTGGTGGATTGGAAAGAGGGTCCAAAACAATGTAAAGGAGAAGATGCATTTGAACTCCCTGGAGATAATAAATCTGGTGTTAACTGAGCAGAAGCTGGAAAAGAAAACAACAGAGGTGGATAAACAAACTCACAGCAAACCACGTGGGACAGTTTTCCCCCCAAATATAAATCAAGAGGCACCGTCGGCCTCTGCAAGAAAACAAACCCCTCAG